CCCAGCTGAAGCAGAAACCAACAGGCGCAGGCAGCAGCAACCTCATGCAAAAAGGCAGAAAAGATGCCCCAAAGGAGAGCAGTCGAAAGCAGAAACTACCAGCTGAAACAGACACCAACAGAAAGCAGCAGCAGGGAACGGAAAAACCAGAGCCTCAACAAGAGAACAGCAAAGCAGTAACAAAGGGAGCCAAAGATGGCTTTAATCCTTCAAGACAAGGATCCAAAGGAAAAACCAACAGGTAGCTGGAGGCCAGCTGAGCAGCCGGCTGGAACCAGCTGAACAGCACCAATGGACAAGAGAGAGAACCAACCTAAAACCAACACTCCTGACTGGGACTACCAAAGCCGTCAACCAATCCCTTGCCTCTAGGCACACACCACCATCCTCTTCAACCTTACATTAGGTAAACCATAATGATCTTGATGTAAAAGCAATTTTCCTTTTAATGGAAACTCCTCACCAGCAGCAAAGTCAATCCTCCCTCCAGCTTGCACAGCGATAGTAGTCAGGAAGTCATCAACTTTATTTGTTTCCCTATATACATGTTTCACCTGAAAACTCAGCCCTCCAAGCAAACCCCAAATTTGAACAAAAATACTTTTAAGCTTCCATGGGACTTTAGCTTTCCCCAAAATCATATTAACAAGACTCTGGGAGTCAGATTCAATCCAAAGGTGATGACTATCCAATGCATTTGTCACAACTAAATTCAAGTCGTCCAATAAAGCCTTGCATTCAGCTTGCATAATGGAACCAGTTCCATAAAAAATAGCAGAAGCTCTAACAATATGACCATGAGAGTTCCTAACCACCATTCCTCCCCCAGATAGCCCCATCAACATTTAGCTTCAAATCATTACCAGCCGGGGGCTCCCACTTCACCCAAATAACCTTGGTAATACAATGGAATTGAGGGACAATATTTAGATCCTTCAAAAGGTTCTTGCCTCTATGGTCATCCCCCCTAGATGGTTTCACTAGGACGGACAGCCATCTCAAAGCACTTGTAATTTGCATAAAAATTGCAAAGGGATTTAAGCAAACTCCCTCAAATCTTCTCCTGCATCGCTCTTTCCAAATGGCCCAGAAAATAAGCAAAGGGGCTCCTCTAATCAGCTGGTGGCTTAGGGAATGGTATTTGAACCATCTAACAATTCTCAAGAACCTGCACATAGGAGATTCCCCGGAAATGAGAACAAATCCCATCATTGAAGAGGTTCTCCACCATACAGCATGGGCAAAAGAACAATTGATAAATAAATGCTGAAGAGTCTCTTCCCCCAGCCCACACAAATTGCATTTACTACTCAAAGAAACTCCCACACTCCTTATCCTATCATCAGAGGTCAAGGCATTTCTATAGATTTTCCAAGCACAGAACTGTGCACTAGGAAAGGTCTTTTGAGCCCAAATACTCTTAACCAAAGCATTTTCCACCCCCTTGCATCTAAGATGATGCCAAGCAGACTTAATAGAGAAATTACCAGAGCTATCATGTCTCCAAATTCTCTTATCAAGAGCATCAGACCAGAACACAACAGTATGGAGAATGTCATTATGAACTTAGGGAGGCAGTCATTCAGAAACAGCATCAAGGTTCCATCCATCTTCATTCCATAGCTCCTTAACCCTAGGAAAAACCAAAGGAGTCACCTCAACTCTAGAAATCAAAGGGCCAGCATCCATCCAGGAATCGCACCAAAAGTCAGTCGTATGACCATTCCCCAAAATCATTGAAGAATTAAATGCTACCAGTTCAAACCAAGGTTTGAGACTCTTAAAACTCAGCCCAGCACTAGAGTTGGAACACCTCAGCATGTGTTTACCTTTGAAGTATTTCTCCTTGAATACTTTAGCCCATAGAGATTGGTCATTCAGGATGCCCCAAACCTGCTTAACTCTGAAATTAGCTTGAATTTCACTAAAACTTCTTATTCCCAAGCCACCTTCGTTCTTTGGCTTGGAAATATTATCTAAGGAAACCCAATGTCTCCTCCTTGCATCCACCTTGTTAGACCACACAAAATTTGCAATAAGGGAATTTAGTTTCCTTAAAATTCCTTTAGGGATATTCATACAAGCTAGTATGTGGATGGGGATGGAATTAAGCACAAATTGTATCATCACAACTCTGCCTATACCAGATAACATCTTTGCAGACCAACCCTGAATTCTATCCCTGAACACCTTCACCACCTCTTCAAAGTAGGACATCCTCCTCCTGCCTCTAATAATAGGACATCCTAGGTAAGAAAAGGGGCACTGTTTGATGGAGATTCCAAGCACCGCAGACAATTTATTTCTTCTAGCAGTTGGAATCCATTTGGAACAATACATTGCACTCTTCAGTTTGTTAACCCTCTACCCCGAGCACCCTTCATAGAGCGCAACGAACTTCATCAAATTCATAGCAGAACGCTTAGTACCTCTAAGAAAAACCAAAGTATCATCAGCAAAGAGTAAGTGGCTCACCACTGAAGTGCCCTTTCCCATGTCAAAGTGTGAAACAAGCCTCTGCTGAAAGATGCTTCTCAAGCCTCTACTCAGAACCTCCTCCGCAAGGATGAAGAGAGTAGGAGAGAGAAGATCACCTTGTCTCAAACCCCTAGAATTAGAAAAATAACCATGCCTCTGTCCATTCAAGCAAATAGAGAAGGATTGGGAAATCAAGCAATTCGAGATGATGTGGGTGAAAAGATTCGAAAACCCAAAGGCACCCAACGCTTTAAGAAGAAAGTCTCATTCAAGCCTATCATCGGCTTTCATCATATCCAGCTTTAGAACCAAATTACCTCCCTCCACTTTCCTGTCAAGCTCCCCAACCAATAATTGGCCCAAAGCCACACAATCACCAATGCCCCTTCCTGGCACAAAGCCATGCTGCTCCTCAGACACCAGCAAAGGAAGCAATGAAGAGATTCTAGTGTTCAGAAGCTTTGTGAAGATTTTATATAAAAAGTTACAGAGGCTAATAGGTCTAAAGTCAGAGAAGGTATGTGGGTCATCCTTTTTTGGAATAAGCACGAGCAATGTGGAATTCACAGACTTAGGCATGAGCCTACCTTTCAGCAAGAAATTGACAGCTTTCCCAACATCAATACTAATGATATCCCAAGCAAATTGGAAAAACTTTCCAGATAGACCATCTGGACCTGGGGCACTTTCGGGCTCCATCGAAAAGACAACATCCTTTAACTCCTGCAAAGAAGCTTCACCAGTCAAATGCTCATTATCAACAGTAGACACCAATCTAGGAAGGACTTCAAAAATCTGATCAGGTAAATCATGAGGTTCAGATGTATACAGATTAGAAAAGAAAGCCTCAGCCACCTCTGAAATGTGCTGGTCCCCATACACCCATGTTCCCTCTTTATTCTTTATTCTTGAGACTTTGTTCCTATTACATTTGCTTTTAGCAATCGCATGGAAAAACCTTGTGTTCCTCTCCCCTTTGATAGCCCAGTTGATGTTAGCTTTTTGTTTCCGGTATATCTCTTCCCTTTTCAGTAGCTCATCCATATCAGATTTTAAAGCTGCAAGATCGACAGCCCTCTGATTACTATAATTCTGATCCAAATCAATCTCAGCCTTGCTAATATTCTGTTTCAGCGCTTTAATCGAGTCAAAGAGATTTCCAAAGACATCTTTGTTCCATCTTTTAAGCTTGATAAACAAGTTGGACATGGGATTATCAGAGTACTGTCCTTTCCAATTCTCTGCAATTAGCCTTAGAAAATCTGCATGATCACACCACATATCTTGAAATCTGAAGTAAGAACATCTCTTCTGAGCTGGTCTAACCATAATTTTTAGAAGTAAAAGACTATGGTCAGAGAAGCCTCTGGCAAGATGAACAACCTCTGTGCTCTCGTGCTTGATACCCCAGTTCCCATTCATCAAAGCTCTATCCAATCTTTGCAACATTTTAATATGACCCTGTCTATTGTCACACCAGGTAAATTTATTGCCACTAAAGCCACAATCCACCAATCCTCTATGATCCAAGAAATCACCAAAGTCCTCCATAGAGGAAAAAGAGGGGAATGCTCCCCTTTTACGTTCATCAAAGGATAAGATGGAATTAAAGTCCCCAACAACAAGCCAAGGCATAAGAGCTGGAATAGACAAATTATTCAAATGCAACCATAAATCTCTTCTCAACATCTGCTTGCATTTTGCATAGACCACAGAGAGCCAGTAAACCACATAATTCTCAAAAGTGAGCTCCACAGTTAGAGCTTGCTCATGCTTAAAAAGAGTTTTGATTTTAACTCTGTCATCCCATAATATCCAAATGTTCCTCTCTGCTAAAGAGTTAACACTAAAGTATTTCATGCCAATACACTTGGCAAAAGCAGGTAATTTACTCACCATCAGTTTAGGCTCCTAAATAGCCACAAAGCAGACATCATTCAAAATTAACAGCTTTTTAAGTCTCCATCTTTTGACGCCCATCACTATGCCCCTCATATTCCAGGAAATAAGATTCATCATGAGGTAAAAGGGGGGAACGCACCACAAGAGCTATTTCTAGTACCTTCATTCTCCTCTTGAAAGGAGTTATCAGATTCCCCAATTGCATCTCTATGAGTATCAGAGCTGTCTTGGTCTGAAAAATACCCCTTATCAGGGGGCAGCCTAACCCTCACCAGACCCAGAAGATCATCCACAACATCTGTACCTCCTAGCCTTGTCGCATACCCATGATCCACCAAAAAGGATGACCCCATAGATGGGGCATAAAGGACATTACAATCCTCCAACTGTTCCCTGGATTCCATACTTCTCACCATGTTATTCATTTTCATTCCTTCTTCCACCTCCAGAGACATCACGTTTAAACCTTCAGTAACCTTAGTAGCAACAACAGCCATAGGAGGGGAAGAGGAAACCTCCACACTGCTCCCCACATGATCATCCTCATCCATTGCAACATTCCTCTACAAGAAATCCTCAGCAACATGTTCCACTGGAATAAGATCAGCCGTCGTGCCCCTTCATTCGACATTTATCTCCTTCCTTAGTCCATCCGTAAACTCCAGATTAATACCTTCCATAAATGAAGGACCAGATGCCCTTCCTCCAGTGTGCAGAAAACTAGAGTTCTCCTCTCTATTCAAGGATGCTTCTGGTAAGTGAACCGGATTGGAATCCAACGGTTTATCCCTCATTTCACCTTTTTGCTTTGCCTGTGTGACCTTCTCCATAACATTCTCAACATCCAACCTCTCATTGGCTTCAGATAAGATGGCAAAGTTATTAAGCATTGCTGGCTCTTTAGCTACAATCTTAGGCCTATATTCTTTCCTTGGTTTGCTTTTATGAACATCAGTAGCTATAGCTTTCCCTTTCCTGTCCTTCCAACCTTCTTCCTGGTTGACACCATTAGCTGGAACCGGGGTCTTCTCGGCCACAACCTCACCCTCTTCCTTGTTCTTCTTTCTACACTGAGAATCATCATGTCCTTGTTTAAGGCAAATAGGGCAATATTTATACTCCTTTTCATACACAATTTGTTGCCACCTACCACTGGATCCACCCATATCTAACCAAAAACGCCTTGGAATAGTGGCCACTAGGTTCATCTCAACACAAACTCTAGCAACTCTTGGTCTTGATAATTGTAAAGTTGCATTATCAATGACCAAGATTCTGCCTATAGGACTTAGAATATCCCTTAGACTATCCCTATTGAAAAGATGGATAGGGAGCCTTGGCAGGGAGACCCAAATCGGAACCAAAGGAGGTTCAATTCAGGATAAAATTCTGGAAACCATTTGAAGAACCGGAAAAGGAAACCTTCAATGTATGTGGAATCCTTGAGCCATACCTTAACATAGTCATCGTAATTTGAAAATCGAAAGAGAATATGTCTTGGGTCCAATACTCCCACGATAAAGTCCCCCTTTAGCATCCACCTTGTGTTGATAAATTCCTTTACCACTCCTAGTGATGGTTTGCCATAAGCACATTTGCCTACCAAGGTAAGGTTAAAATGTCTAGAGAGTTCCTGGGTTTCATCTGGGGGACTAGTACATACCTGGTTCTCCATTGTTAAAGACGACTCTTTTGGCAGGCTTGGAGAAGGATGCCGAAATAAAGGGGTCAGTTGGGATGCTTTCAAGGGGGATTTGAATTTCATAGTATTTCGGGGAAGATGAGGTGCCTGCTTGGAACGAAGGTCCTTGTGCAGAAAATGGGGAATGAGACTGTGGTAAAATGACATTCTGGTTGTTCTGGTCGTTAGTCGTACCGAATGGGGGTTGATTTCCTATAGTTGGAGCAGAGATTTCAATGTCGCCGGAGTACTCGCAGTCGATGGAATTAACGACGGTGAAGTGAAATTTGAAATCGACTGATTTTGATGAAAAGGGAGATGGGGAGGCATATGGGTGGGAGTAATACAGCCTAGGGGGTTGACAAAGGGGGGAGGAAATTACACAGAACCGGACTGAGGATTGGGAATGACTCCGATGGAAGTGGGTTTCTCGAAAAGGGATGCAAAATTTCTAGAGATATTATGTGAAATGGGTGGTGGATTCGGTGAAAAACGGGGGGTTAGGATGGGAATAGAAGGGATATCAGGTGGTTTTGGGGGAATATTGCAGCAAATCTAAGCAGATTCCATAATAAATGTGCAAGTAAAAACGTAAAAAGCAAGCCGGTGAAAAGAGAAAAGCTAGAGAGAAGTGAGAACTTTTCTCACTAGAAACCTAGTACTGCCTCCTCCTAAACCATAAACCCTAAACCCTAAACCCTAAACCCTAAAAACCCAAAACCCCAAACCCTAAACCCTTAACCCGTAACCCTTTTTAAACCCTAAACCCTTTTTAAACCCTAAACCCTAAACCCAAAATCCCAAACCCTAAACCCCAAACCCGAAATCCCAAACCCCAAACCCTAAACCATAAATCCTAAACCCTAAACCCTAAACCCCGAACCCCAAACCCCGAACCCCGAACACCAAACCCCAAGCCCCAAACCCCAAATCCCAAACCCTAAATCCGAAACCCTAAACCCTAAACTCTAAACCCTAAAACCCTAAAACCCTAAAACCCTAAAATCCTAAACCCCTAAACCCTAAACCCTAAACCCTAAACTCGAAACCCAAAATCCGAACCCGAACCCTAAACCCTGAACCCTGAACCTTAAAACCTTAAAACCCTAAACCCTAAAACCCTAAACCCTAAAACCCTAAAATCCTAAAACTCTAAACCCGAAACCCGAACCCC